ATATTTCTGCTCCGGGCTTCCCAACACAGCCAGAATGGGGCCCTTAGGAGCTACCCTTTGTTTGGTTCCTGTCTCAGTGAAAGCTACATCTAGTCCACCTCCAGGTGCTCACTAGAGAAATACCGAGCCTTGTGGCTCTGCCGCTTACTTCACAGAACCTGCTCCTTTTATGTTTAGTTCTTTGCTGTCGGAGAATTCCATGCTGGAAGTGAGGTCTTTCGGTGGCCACAGTCTTCCTGGTTTAGGAGAAGATAGTGCTAAGGCTGGGTGTTTTGGTACACTTCTGTAATCTTAGCACTCGGGAGGCTGAGGCAGGAAGATCTTTGCAAGTTGGACACTAACCTGAGCTTCAAAGTGAGCTCAAGGCCAGCCTGAGCTGCATAGTGAGACCCTGCCTTAAAGAGATTAGAAAATAAAGAAAGAGAAAGAAACAAACAAAGAAAGAAAGAATAGGCAGCTATTGGTCCAGATATTCTGCTGGGGTTCTCTCTGATTTCTCATTCTCAGTCCTGACATTTATGTGTGTAATGATGCCTTCTCCCCACTGAGCTGAAGCCACTCTCCAAGGACTATGAATGAACCCTACATTTGTTAGTGCCAGGTTGCCCATCATTCAAAGGAGGCTCCATTTGCTTTCATTTTTTTTTCGTTCATTGAGAGATTAAGATATTACTTGTTTTTGCATACAGTTGTTCAGTTTCCACTTTGAAATTTCAAAGAGATCTCTGTCACAGGGCTGCTTTGAGTTTGAGAAATGTCATGAATCTAACGTTTTGCTCCAAATTTATTTGGAAGTTGTACGGTCAATATGAAGTAAAAAAAAATTCTCATAATTCACACAAAGGAGTTCAAAACCGGGCAGAGGATATATCTCAGAGGCACAGTGCCTGGCTGGCAAATAGAAAGTCAGGAGTTGTGTACCAGGTTAAAAAAACAAAAAAACAAAACAAGGTCAGCCTAATCATCTGTAGAATTAAAGAAACAATTTCTCAAATCCACTGAAAAATTTAATGAAAACATGTACTATTTGTTTGAAAGCCATTTACATTTTCCAGCATTTTACTATCTCTTGGATGGACAGATACAAGATATTTATAGCCACTTGTGCTTTTTGTGCGTGCCAGGTTAATTCAGATTTTATTTTAAATAATTTTGAAAAACCAGTTATAAGCGTAGATTTGAAAGAAAAGACTAAGGTGAATTTTAGAAAGAGTGAAATAAATATCACTGTCAGGCTCTTGGAAATAAACTTTCTGCCAGCTAATATTTGTAACGATATGGCAATTCTTTGTTAAAGTTTTTAAAAACCCCTTCATTTCTGTTTTGCTTCCTGTTTATCTTTAAAGTGCTCTTATCTCTACCAACACAGGCCTCACTTGAAATTTGGCTGTGGACTTGTGCTTTACGAGCAGCAGCAGGACGGAAACTCCAAGGGCACATTTCTAGATGCCACTCTGAACTGCCAGAGGTCTTAGGTGGTGCTTTGGGAGCCTTGGTTTAGGCTGTGTGATGCGGATGAAGGGTCCAGGAATATGTGCTAAGTGAGTGTGACTACTAAGTCAGGTCACTGTGTGGCTTAGCATGGCACTGAATGTGGACAGCGGGAAAGCCTGTCCTGGGCTTGGGGACAACAGCCAATAGGCATGAGAACTGGATGGGAAAAGAGAAAAGCAGGCTCCCTAGCATTTTGGTGCCGCCTACTGGCCTCATCAGGAACAGTCTGTCCTCTGCCAGGAGGCCATGCTTAAAGTCAGTTGAACAGGGACTGAAATCTTTACAAAACAACTGTGGCCAAATTACAACGGTCCTCCATTAACTTGTGTGTGTCAGCAACTGTGCCTTAGCAATGAGAAAACTGACTGAAACAGGGATACCAGAGAAACTCAGGAGACGGAAAGAGAATAAACACGCTTTGTGGACATGTGCCAACTACCCAGAATGCCTATAATCCTTTGGTACTGCAAAGAAGTCCAAACTAAAAAAGGAATAAATTATTGGAAAATCGAAGTTTTCAACTACATGATAAAATATAGAGAGGATGCTGAGAAGAGAAAATTCTCTGTCAGAGTAGCAATTCATTGACCTAATTTTCGGTGCAAATCAGACAAAGAGAACAGATCTAAGAGACTTAGATTCAGTGGGTCTCCCTGAGCTCTGCAGTAGTCAGATCCCTCTGTGTTTATCCTCCAGGGTGTCATGGTGAGTCTTGACAGGACCTGGGCCTCCTCTCTGTGCTGTGTGGGTTAACGCTTTAAACTCCCTAGGACCCAAACAAGGGAACCACAGAAGTGCCTGAGTGACCCAGCTGTGCCAGGGAGGGTACATTTGATAGCTCAGCAGCCTCCTCTGCCAGGCAATTCTCCAGCCCTAGCTCGTGACTCAGGGC